ATAAGAAAAGTAAATCGGCACGCACGATACTGAAAAAATATTTTCTAATTATTTTTGGATGCCTGTATCTCTTAATTTGCCCTCCCCCATCTTAGTAATAAAGACACCTGCAAACTTTATTTCCACATTTTGTACTTTAAGCGCAGATATATCGCTTAAAATAGTCAGGAGCAGGGAAATAGTGGTCATGCTAGATGATTAAACCATGAGTTGCATCCAGGTACATCGTCACGAGGCTATATGCTTCATATAACCTTTGAATCGGACAAAATCATGTATTCTATTGAGAAAGCATGTTGGAACTTTCGCTCGCATGCCAGGTTGCCTCGGCAATTCTGGAAGTGAATAGCGTGTTATCGAACAAAACTCGCGACAATTGAGGAGTTTTTTTACAGATTGCCCTCCATCAACAGTTGGCCGACTATGTCGATTTTACATTTACTTCTTCACCTTGAATGGTGACCAAAAAAACGGTTCGTACTATCACTAATAAATGCTATTGAACTGCATAAATATATTAATTATAGATAAATATCGCAAACAAAAATGAGTGTCGTAAATAAAAGACCCAAATTGAGAAAACGAAATCTTCGAGCGAACAGTAAGCATAAGATAAAATATCAAGGAAAAGAAATGAGAAAGCTATGACATGCACCAAAATCAGGCAGAATGAAACCCGTGGGGAATGATAATGAGAGAAGGCGAAGGAGATGATACATAATTCTGCAGGCTGTGGAGATGAATCGATCTATTCGAATGTTCGATCAATCGATATGCATGGTGTGAGTTAATAAAATCTGCCTAGACAACATGTGGAGTTGGTCGTGGCCTCCTGGAGAAGTCTCGTTCTTTTCTGATAGCTCCTACTTCGGGTTCGGTCAGGTATTCTCTGAAAAGAAAATACTTTTGGCTTCGAAGGAATCTAAACAACACGTCATCTTTTTGCTGTCATAAGATTGGCTATAATGGCAGTCTCCATTGGTGGGCACTTTCAGAAGTTAAAAGTTGAGGGATTGAAGTAAAATGGGCTTTTTCATGAGCAATTCAGAAAAATTACTTTAAGATATGCATCAAAATTGAATAGACTTATGTGGTCAGAATTTTCTATTTGAAGTCGAACATTAAGCAAGCAAAATAGGCAAACAATCATATCCGAAAACAATTTCCGTCAATGGTAGTTCAATTTGACATAAATTCTGCATTATTTATAATACTCTAATTTCATTCGTTATGTTTCTGTCTTGCAATCGAAATATTCAACTCGTCTTTCTTTTTCAGAACAGTTCGTTGCAAGTGAAAAATCCGTTTAAGGAAGCAGCATTAAAGCATACATGAAGAGTAAATCAAAATTGTATCGGACCCGTCCAAGGCTTCACTTCTTCTCATGCGACGCGCTACAAATAAGTTGGACGCAAATTATGTATGCAGTGCTAACGTTTTCATGTTGTCCTTGTCCTACTACAGTCCTCTTTTGCACTATTTTCATAAACTAAGAACAAGTAACCAATTTAAGGATCAGTAAGTTTTCAATGTTGATACGTTGACTCATTAGTATAAGTCTATTCTAAAACTTCCATACTGGACATTTCAATTTGAAAAAAAAAAGTATCATTCACCTGAATTCCCCGTCATCATTTGGGTTTAACGC